CTCTCTCTCTCTCTCTCTCTCTCTCTCTCTCTCTCTCTCTCTCTCTCTCTCTCTCTCTCTCTCTCTCTCTCTCTCTCTCTCTCTCTCTCCGACTTGGATGTGTGCATGCGGCCGTATGCAATGAGGGTGGCCAAGGTGTGAGGAATAAATGATTGATTGTATACGTGAATGTGGTAAATGCAAGTAAAAGATTAGAGAAACATTGAAAACATGCGTTGCATGCATTAACTCCCACAAAGCATTTGGCCATGCACTCACCATCCTTTCCCCATCCGCCCGCGTGAATGTCGTATTCCTCATGTTTGTGGTGTGCAGTGCAAATGACAACAATTGATGCAAGATTGTGCAAAAGAGGATGGACAGTGCATCTCGCAACTTCGTTTTTATCAAAGAGGGAGACGGCAGCCTTGACGCGTATCATCCGCGAATACGGGAAGAGGTATCCCATAGCCACCACACACGACGTATACATGAACGAGGTGTTGCAACTCACTCGCAACGATTTACTTTTACTTGCTGTAGAATGTCAGTGGTTAAACGACAATGTCATCAACTTTTACCTCAATCTCATAGCATTGGACAACTGGTGTAGAATACAACACGTAGAATGCGACGCGGAGAATAAGATAGTTATTAGAGAAGGAAAGGGTCGCATTCCTAGAGTTTCAGTGCTGAGCTCATTTTTGTTCGTCAAACTTTTCGACAATGAAATGAGATATAGAGGTCGAGAGGTAGAGCGCTGGTGTCAGGACGTTATCATAAGTGACATGGACTTGATTATTGCTCCTTTCCATATCGAACACAAGAACCACTGGACCCTTGTCGTGGCTGACTTCAGGAGGAGGAAATTCGAATTTTACGACTCCCTCGACCCCGACATGGAGTTGGCGAGAAAGGTGACCGGCGGGTTTGCAAAGTTTATATTCGAAAGATCGAAATCACAAGGCAAAGAGGTGGACACGAAACCATTCAATCACATATGGAATGTAGAGGGCATTCTGAAGCAACACGACACGAACGAGTGCGGGGTCTTTGTGCTAACGTACGCATCACTGTTAGCACGGGGACAACTTCCACCTTTCTTTTTCACTGCTGATGATATACCCGCGATACGTCGTCGAATGGCTTTGGACACAGTGGCTCGTGAGTAGTGTGTATATGATAATCCGTAATATGATTTGGAGGGGGGGCGGATGCCACAAGATGGTTTGTGACAAAAACAATGTATATAAGGTGTCAAATATTACTCGATACACTGTGCCACTTGACCCTTGCAATTTACCACATATCCCTTACACCTCACCCCTTACACCTTACCCCGTTCACCTCACACCTTGCCCCTTACACCTTACCCCTTACACCTTACCCCTCACCCCTTACACCTTACACCTTACACCTTACACCTTACACCTTACCCCGTACCCCATACACCAAACATCTCTTTGTAATGGTTTTTGCACCTAAATCAGCTCAAAAATGACAATTTCAATTTCGTTCAAAAAATATAAAATGTCCGTTTTGACCAAATCGCTGTTGGGCCAAAAAGTTCGAAATGAAATGCACCCTGGATGAGATAGACACGGTAGCCCCCCTTAGGAGAACCCTGATGCAACCTATGCAGTGCACACTTTTGGAATATCTGGCCGCCAGCAAAAATGCCAGGGAGGAACTCCTAAGCATCACAAGGAAGGTGAGAGTACCGCTCGCAGGAGGACCCACTGTGCCGGTGGAAGGTCCAGCCAAGGAAGAAGTACAGGCCTCCCGCATTACCATGGAGGAATTGCCTGCCAACTTCTTCTCGGGTGAAGAGACCAAGAAGTTCTATGTGTTGGGTAGCGGTCAGCTCCAGGCAGTGGTAAGTGGGAAGAAGATGAGGGCCCTGGTAGACAACGGTTCCGAGTCTACGGTGTGTAGGGACTCCATCGCGCGGGAGCTGGGCTTGGAGAGAGATCGAGGGGTATCAATGTCAATGGTAGTGGCCGATAACAAGCTGCAACCGGCAGAAGGGGTATGTCATAGCCCCGTGATTGAGGTCGCTGGCGTAGAGGTCATGGTCCCAATCTTTTCGATAAAAGAGTGCTCCTCCGAGTTGATCCTCAGAAGGACCTAGTTGAGCGAGGTTCACGCTACCACGGTTGACTTACCGGATGGAAGTCAGACCCTCTCAATCCAAAGTCCAGACGCATATCCGAGTGGTCCTAAAAATCGTAGACGCACAAGATGAGCGTAACCGGACCAGCATTGCTCGACGCAAGGGGAACCAGTCGAGGGTGTGCCGAGTCCGTCTGGAGGAAGTGCCCTTGATGGATAGGGGACCCAAGGGAAACCCATTGGAGGTCGAGGATGTAGGGGATAGGATTGTGATTAACGGTATGGGGTACGAGAAGGAGGACGAGGAGGAGGAATTCGATGGATGTGTGAGTATGTCTTTTTTGGAGGTATCCCCCTAGCCGGCGGAGTTAAGAAGCACAAAACCGTGGCGGAGAAAGTAAAACCCGCCGCGGTCAGCCGGGATAGAACGGGGGAAGCTACAATATCGGACGAGGAGATAGCCGATATCATCCGGAAAAGGAAAGAGACTGAAGGGCAAAGGATAACGACCGATAGGTTGGCCAAGATGGATATAAGGGATGAGAATCTCACGGAGGAAGAGAAGGGATTCATAGCCATGACCTTAAGGGGCTGCGATAAGGCCATTGCCTTTGATGACTCGGAGAGAGGAAGGATCGACCTGAGGTACGCTAAGCCAGCCCGGATCCACACGGTCCCACACGTGCCTTGGAAGGGTAGGCCCCAGTGGAAGTACGCTCAAAAGGAGAAAGGGAAGATAGTGGTTTTTATCAAGGAGAAGATCAGGACATTCGTCGCAAAGCCTTGTGAGAGTGCGCAACAAACTAAGGTGGATACGAAACCTCCAAAGGACCAATGAGGTCACTATAAGGGACGTGGGATCGATACCGGAGGCAGATCTACTTGCGGAAGGGTCGGCAGGTCGTTCAATATACTCAATCTGTGACCTCTTCTCGGGGTATGACGAGATCCCCTTAGACTATCGCGATAGGCATATGACCGCCATGCATACACCTCTAGGGCTGGTCCAAATGATGGTGGTGCCCATGGGGTGGACTAATGGAGTGGCAGTGTTCCAAAGGGTCATGATAGCAGTCCTCAAGGAGTTCATACCTGAAAAGGTGGAAGTCTTCCTTGATGACTTCCCGATAAAAGGACCGGTCGAACGGGATGAGACGGAGGTTTTGCCCGGGATAAGAAAGTTCGTGGTACCCTCAAGGAGTTCATACCTAAAAAGGTGGAACGGGATAAGAAAGTTCGTGGTATCCTCAAGGAGTTCATACCTGAAAAGGTGGAAGTCTTCCTTGTGAAATTGGACGATGCTAACCTCACGGTGAGCGGAACCCAGAGTCGTTGGGGCGTATAGTCCATTAAGATACTAGGGTTCATCTGCGACAAAGATGGGCGGAGGCCTGATCCCGAGAAATTGGTGAAATTAATGACCTGGCCGTCGCCACTCAAGTCCATTACGGAGGTCAGGCAGTTTTTAGGGGTGGTGGGCTACTGGCGAATCTTCATAAAAGGCTACGGTGCGAAGGCAGAACCTCTTAGGCGGTTACTTAGGAAGACGGAAGGTTGGGCTTGGGGCGAGGAGCAGGCGGCAGCCATGGAAGCCCTAAAAGAGGAGTTCCGCGAAGGAGGGCAGGTCCTAGGGGCTCCATTCTTCGAAGACGAGGAGCGTCGCCTCTTTATAGTTTCCACGGATGCTGGGCCGAACTCGGTGGGGGGCTTCCTCTCTCAAAAAGACGGAGAGGGGAAAGAGAGGCCGTTGCGATTCGAGAGCAGGACCTTGAACCCCGCCGAGAGGAATTATAGCCAGTTCAAAAAGGAGGTGCTAGGGGTACTACATTACCTAAAGGCTTTTCGCCACTATCTATACGGACGACGATTTCTCCTAAGGGTGGACCCGACAACAGTAGTCGCGGTCCTTCAAAAGGATTTCTCCCTGACCGATCCGACCATCCCCCGATGGATGATACACATTAGGCTTTACGACTATAGGGTCGAGAGGATATCGGGGACCAAGAACCAGGTCGCGGACGGTTTGTCCCGGTTTCCCATTCGTGAGGAGGACCTACCTAGACTTAGGGAGGAAACGGTAACAGAGACCGAAGAAGGGGTAGTGAAAATAACCGCTAATAAGGCACAAATAGCGGAGAGCAGCCGGGTAGAAGAAGGAGCCCCGAGGACCTTTCTCGCAAATCTCTATGACAGAAAGTATCGGGACATAGGATTGTATTTGGCCGGTAGGGAGGCAGGGACCGAGAGAATCCGGCAGGAAGCGCTGGGATACTGCCTACGAGGACGTCATCTCTTTAAGAGGCCCACGAAGTTCACTATTCCTATGAGAGTACTGTGCAATCCAGAGGAAAAAAGGGCGGTCATAGAGGAACTACACGATGGTGTCGTGGGAGGTCATAGGGGGGTGAAGGGTACGTTCGACAAGGTCCGTAGGCTTTATTGGTAGGATGGGCAATACACGGAAGTGGAAAAGTATTGTTCAACGTGTGAGGCTTGCCAGAAGAGGGCGATGGTTCGATACAAAGAGCCCCTAGTTCCATCGTTTCCCACTGTTCCGGGTGAGAAGGTCCACATAGATCTGGTAACAATGTCGAAGGGGGTCGACGGTCTTCGGTATATAATCAACGTCCGGGATGACCTCACCGGATTCATGGAAGCAAAGGTCATTAAAAAGAAGACGGCGGAGGAGGTGAGTGATTTTCTCCTTGAGTATATCGCGCGGTACGGGTGTGTCGGGATAATAGTCATGGATAGGGGAGCGGAGTTCCTGAGCCAGAAGGTCAAGGTGTTGTTGGAGAAGGCAGGGATAGGGGCGGCCTATACAACCGCTTATCACCCCCAAAGCAATGCGCCAGTAGAAAGGGGGCACCAAATGCTTGTAGACGCCCTAGCAAAATGGTGCAAGGGTCGCGCGGAACAATGGCCGAAGTATTTACGGTACGCGGTTTGGGCAGATAACATCACGGTCAAATCCAGTACGGGGTACCCTCCTTACACCCTTTGGTTCGGTAGGCATTGTCCCCTACCCATCGAGTTCCACGTTGACACTTGGACGAGTGTCTCATGGAAAACCAACATGACCCGGAAAGAACTGTTGGAAGCACGGATCCAACAAATAGCGGATAATTTGGATGCCGGGATAACCGAGGTGGGGGAGAACGTCAAGAGAGAGAGGGTGAAAGGAAAAGATAGGTGGGACAAAAATTTGCGGGTCCGAAAGGCGCTGATAGGGGTTAACGGCCTAGTGCTGATGTACGATTCGTCACTAGAAAAGACCTGGAACCGGAAATTGGCGAACTGATGGATGGGGCCGTATAAGGTCCTAAAGAGATTGGATGGGGGGGCTTACGTGCTCGCGGAATTAGATGGGAGTAAGTTACGGGACCCTATCGCATGGGCTCATCTCAAAATCTTTCGATCAAGGGAGACCCTTGGGGAGGAGCCAAAACAGAAAGGGAAGGAAGTGGTTGACACAAAGGTGACCTTAACCCACCAGAAAGGGGAGACCTCCAAACAAGGGGCCTCTTCTTGACCATCAAAGATCCCTAGGAAGAAGAAACGGCCGATACTGACCAATCGGGGAAACGCCAGTTGAACGAAAGGAGGAACGCGTCTAGGAAGGCCATGAGACTCAGATGTGAGAGAGAGGAAAGAAAACGGAAGAGAGAGAGGCGCGAGAAGAGGATGAGGAGACGGAGACGGGCATAAGGGAGAAGGAGAATAGTGTACCGAAGTTAGAAAAACGTGATAGGTCGAAGAGAAAGTTGTACCAAATTGTACAATAGTTAGAGAAACAGATGTCGTTAGGGGCAATGAGCCGTAATCCCGAGTAGATATTGCAGTGTGCCGTGGGTTATGACAATAGGGGTTAAGTCTGGTAAAGAGAGAAAGGCAACGGGAAAAACATTTCATGGGTAAACGTTAGGCGAGGGGTCACGGTCAAAAAGAAGGGGGTCGTAAAAGGTAACTCTCCGGGGACGACGAGAAATTGGGGTGTGGGCTGGTTGCCGGGCGGCTGCCTACCAGCCGATGGTTTTTTTTTCTCAAAAATGGAAATCATTTTTTCTTCCTTTTCTGCTTTTGCATGGTTTTAATGTATGCATGGATGTGGGAATGATGTTTTTGGATGTCTTCGGGCTTCCGGGCCTTCCTACTAACCTTTCGATTGCCCGGGGTGACGGTCCGAATCTTGGTCGCGAGCGGTCTCGGGCGGATCATGAAAGATGGGAGTTTTCAGTGTCGAAATCTGAGGATGCGGGGCGAATCATGTGCTTCAGAATGGGGGCGGCTTGGCTTGGGGAAATTCTGGAATGGGCAGCAGGACCGCCCCATGTGGATCCTGAGCTAGCCAACTCCATTTTCCATTAAGGAGGTGGGGGTATGGTTCTCGTCAAAGCAGTCCAACGGAGGGGCCGTGGAACGGAAGATGGCCCGATTTGGGCTGGGAAGAAGTGAAAATCGGGGAAACAGTGATTACACG